TTTTTTATTTACAGCTACACTTGTAATGAATAATATCATCATCATATAGCAAATGATATAAATATTGAATTATATTCCAATGATTTTTTTTGTTGTAAAAAAATTTACAAGCACCCATCTCATCAGTAAATAACCATATTGAATTCCCATTTCAGATAATAATAATGTGGATTGTTTTTTCTTACCCAAGACCGAATCGAGGGTAAAAGTAATAAAAAATAACAATATTTTTGGTTTTGTTTTGGTCATCACATTGATACTTTACACACACACACACACTGGTCATTGATCATTGATGGATATTTTTTTCTCCAATCGTTATTTGACAAAAAAAGTGAAAAAAAATAAATTAAAACCGGATTTCCATTCAAACAAAACAAAAACATATCCCCATATAAATCCAGTGATCAATATTTTAGTGGACATTTTGTTCTTAACTTTCTTTCTTTCTCGATTATTGTCATTTGTTCGATTGTTGTTGTTGATGGTGTTTGGATTTTTTGGGGATTTCCGTCCAGAAGATGTTACAATTTCTCTCTTTTTGAAAAAATCATTGATTTGATAGATGAGCATATACAGAAACAAAAAGACAAAGAAGACAAGTGACCACAATGATGTTGACATGTTTCCGTTTTTAGATTCTGTTTTTTTTTCTTGTATAAAATCCAAAAAAATCAAACTTGATTAGTTTGCCTTTTGCTTGTATAGCTGTCTATGGCGCCCAACAAAAAAAAATCTGTGTGTGAACACATTAATCTTGGTTGATATGTTGACCGTGTTTGTGTTCTATCGAAATAGTCAAGTTTAGTCAATTTTATAAATTTGTTTCGGGATGTTTATAAAACGGCAGCTTGTATTCAATCGTTAATTTTATTAATTGATAGTTGTTCATTACAAGAATCATTACAATTTGTTTGTTACTATCAAATTTATCAGAAGCAGTGTGATGTTGTTCAAGTTTTAATTAAAGAAAAATTTACTTTTCATCAAGAATAATTAATCATTTTAATGATAGTTCAGAAACAAAATTCAAAAAACAAAAACAAAAAATCGGTCTGTCTGCCTAAATATCACTAGGGTAATAGAGGGTTAACTAAGATAACCATAGAATCAACAACAAAAAAATGTCATTTGGTAAATGGAAAAAAGGCAAATGATTCTCTCTCTTAGTTTCATTAATTCAATAAATATACTTTTTTTCGGGTTTGTGGTTAGCTGATTGCGGTTTGTTTTTTTTTGTTGGTTTCTTCAGTAAGATTTTCGATAAAGAATCATCACAGAGCTAAGAGTTTATCATCATCATCATCATCAATATTATTCCGGTTAATCCTTATGCCCAGAATGTTTATATTTTATATATTTTCACTAAGTTTTTACACAACACATAACACAGTTTCATCACATTATTGATGCTAATTTTAATCCTATTAGAATGATGATGGTTTGTTTATTTCTCTGTGTGTGTGTTTGTATATGTTTACTCTTTATCAAATCTATTTCATTTTCTGTTGTCAGGTTTTTTCAGTTCTGTTTTGGTACCGATAAGAGTTGGTTCCAGAAAATAAAAATATATTATTATTCGGGTATGACTTTGGTGTGGTTAGTGGATTATAAATTAATGCTATCAATGTTTTCTGTCTTTTGTGAATACATGTTGCTCTGGCCTATTACAGATTGTGGTATTTTGTTTTTTTCGATGGCATCGTTATCAAATCGTTATCAGGTTTGTTGTGGTTAAATCGATGGTTTTAACACCAGAAAAACCAAAAATCTGACACATCATTTTCACCAATTATTAATTAGAGTTAACTTTCTTTTTTGGATTTTTTTTGCTTCTTTGGACAAAAGTTTATTCGAAAACGAAATAAATTTTTTTTTCTTTCTAACGGATGATATTTTGACCTCTTTTGACTATTTCTACCCAACCAAAAAAATAAAATAAGGTCAACGTATATTTGAATCAAATGTATTGAACAAAACCACAGAAAAATCATTTTTGCTTTGTTTTCTTACACACTTTCGATGACCACGATTGACATGTTTTAGATGTGTGTGCGTGTGTATGTAATCAATGCACTATTTCAACCCTTTTGACCTTATTATTTTTTTTCTTTTCAAATGAACATTCAACTGGAAATAGTTTAAATAGTCAAATGAACGTGTCAAATGAAAAGTTTTTTTACTGCTTACAAATTATCACCATCATTGGCTTTTGTTCTCTGGTTTTGATTATTAACTATATTCAAGTCTGGTTTTTATATGGATTTTCAAACTTTGATCATATGACCCTCTTGGGGCTATATGAATTTCCATATTTGAAACTGGCCACTGTCCGAAAAAAACAAAAATGGTTGAGAAAATCTGTTCGAATATCATATGTGTGTGAGCATATGATCACAAAAACCGAAATGATGATGATGATTGAACGAACGGAAGTGTCTGAAATCAAGCATGATTTAAATTGATCGATTGATCTGATTGTTATTCATGAAAACACAATTTTATTTATGAAAATGAATTCAGCAAAAAAAAGATTGACCAAAAGAAACTGCTAAACTTTGATGATGATCATAGTTCATTCATCAAATAGACCCGTTATTTTGATTTATTAATTTATCATCGGGCCAATTCATTTTTCATAAATGACCCAAACAACTTATGACAACTTCTGTTTTTTGGGCTTTCTAACCCTATCCAAAACTACCTGTAAAAAGTTTTTTTATTTCGCTAAATTTTTTGAATGATTTTTTTCGAATGTTGACTTTCTCACAATTTTTTTGTTTTTTTTCATAATGAGAAATTCAAAACTAAGTAGGGATTCATGGAAGAAAATATTGCACACTTTGACCATTTGTCACAATTGTTTTTTATTAATCAAATATAGCTTTGAGGATTACACACCATCACACGACGATGATGATGATGATGACGACCACCATCATTACACCATCATTGTAATAATAATAATAATAATCGGTAATAAGCACGTGTCGTCACCGTTATATATATTTTTTAACGGTTTTTGTTTATCTATAACCAAAACTTTATTAACACGTGTCCGAAACGGTATACGTTCGTCAAAGCCACACACACCAACCAACAACGAAAAAAATTGGAAGAGAGTGCGATCTCGGATATCAATCTGGTGCTATCTTATCTTCACCATCCATTGGTTCATTTATTCATTCATCTACATTGGTTCATTGATCCAAAAAAAATCAGCAGCAGCGTGTGGTCATCAAAACAAAACCTAGAATCCAGAAAAGTTGATTCAAAAAAAAAATTGAAATCGATATCACCAACAATGACTTTTGGTGATTGATTGCGATATTGAAGCAATTCCCTTGAAGATAATCTTCATCTTCCATTCCCCCTCATCATCATTGATAACATTGGAAATTGGGGCCATTCTAATGTTGTAATATTGAATTACAAATGAAGTTAACCACCAAATGTTTCAAAAAAAAACAAAACAAAACTCACAAGTTTTGTTCTTGCTTTTTTTCCAACGTTTTTGACCAAAGATATTTTCGATTTGATTATGTCCATATAAGAGAGAGAGAGAGAGAGAGAGAGTTTTGGTCAAAGTAATTTGATATGACCCAAATGTTTCCTTTTTCGATACGTATGTGAGAAGAGACGCTTTTTTCAATTTCACTGTATGTTCTCACAAACAAAATAACCAAAAAAATATGGACCATATATCTGGTGTGATTCTTTGGGTTAAGATTCTAAGTCAACCATAATCTTATGGTATTTTCTTCTTGATGAAATTCCAAAAAATCTACATGTGTTAACAAATAATATTGTATTTTTTTTCCTGGGTAATAAATTTTCAAAAGGAAAAAATTTGAATTTCTTGATAGTACAGGTGTCGGTGTAATGAACTTTTCAAATCGTAAAGAATAAAAGTTAAAAGTCAAATTATGTTCGAATGGTGTCATAAGGTCCAATCCGACAAACAAGGACGCAATGGCTTTTTTATGGCCATTTTGTTCAAAATATGATGATATATAATATTTCCTATCCATTTTTTGATGGTGATGATCACACATTCCAATTCCAAACCATTATTATTATTATCGCCATTCAATTCCGATAGGAAAAAGAAAACATTACGATTTATCAGTCAAAAATGGGCAGGCCAAAAAAACCAAAATTGTTAATAATTTTAATAGCCAAGCAATAGGATAAAAGAGGAGTGGCCTAATGATAATAATGATTCAAATCCAAACTATTAATACTACTACCACCACCGCCACCATAACATCATTTATATATGCTGAAGAAACCGAAAAAAAACTGATACCATTTTGGAGGGTTGCGCATATTTATTGCTACCACCACACACACATTATTGTGATGAATTCAAACAAGGTCTTGACATCACACACACAAACACACATAAATCGACCATGGTCGATATATCGTCTTTGAATAAAAAAAAGATCATCACCGTTCGGTTTGATCTCTTTTTCTCAGTGAAACAACCACACATATACACACACGCACATAGGCCAAATAAGTCAATCGCGAAAACTCTAGACCAGAGCAACCAACAACAACAACAAAAAAAAAGCATCGTTAGTTTGTGTGCTGAACATTTTTATTGATGTCGGGCGTCAGTCTACACTTATCGTTATTGCGAAACATTAGAATAAACCATATCAGGCTCAGTTGATTTTACTTCTGCTGCTGCTGCTGTTTTCTGTCATGATTTTTTTTGTGGTTTGAATTTTTTTTTTTTGTTCAATGTATGTGTATTATGACACTTGATCCATCCGACTAAGATCCATTTGTGCACATGACAACATTGACTTTTGACGCTATTCCACCATACGCCAACGATAAACGACAACGATGATCAGTTCTGTATCATGAATGATGTTGATAACACTGTACCTTATTGCCTTTCTAGTTGACCTATGACCTGTTGGTCGTTTTTATATGATGTTTCTGTTGCTGCTGTTTGTTTGTCGCTAATACAACTATTATGATTATGTTTAATGTAGATGGATTATTAAAATTGAATGAATGTTTGACATTTATGATGATCCTGATCCGTCATCATTTGAAGTGTTTGTGTGTTTAAAATTTTAAGTTTTTAGTTTTTTTCATCTGATGGCTTTGGTAGTGAGTAAACAGCCTCAACCTTGGCATCCACCAACACCTTCAGTGTCATCGAGAAATACTGACCTATCATCATCATCGACATCATCAACATCCTCTTCGTCCAGTGACATTGATTCAAGTTTTTCAAAAAGTGCTATTACTACTTTTACCGAAAACGAAACTGGCGGCAATCCATCATCATCATCATCATCTTCAGTCAAAACGGATTGTCAATTGTTAAATTCGGATAAACGCAAATCTACGAATGGTGGTTCGGCCACCAACACAACCACCAGTGGTGAAGTATCAACGACTGCAGATAACGGACCAGAAACACCGCAACAAGCAATAGCCGTGAATACAAAATCTTCGATACTCGATCTTCAACAGGAACAACAACTTAACAACAATAATAATAATGCACCGGCAGCACAAGCTGCTGCTGTTGCTGCTGCGGCCGCCTTAGCACCTTTTTTTGGAACATTTCATCATCATCATTCATCATCGCTATCACCATCCGCTTCATCATCAATCAGTCCAATTGTAACAAGTCCAAATAGCAGTCAAAATATTCAGGACATTTCATTACATTATCCGGGTACTCATTCTTCTGGCCAAAATCATCATCATCATCATCCTCGTCATCAAAATCATTACGTCACTCATTCACATAGCGGAAATGGAAATGTAGTCGGTGTCACTACTCAATCTCATCTGAATCATCAAAGCCACCATCTTCATCATTCACACCAGATAATGTATTCATCACCATCATCCATTTCAAGTCAAGCTTTCGATGGAGGTTTATTAATGTCGGCGATTGGTCCTCCATCCAATGGAACAACTGGTCCTACAAATGGATCGATTCAAAGTCATGTTGCTTATGCTACATCCAATGGTTTTCAACAACCTTCTCAACCAGTTGGATCTCATCAAACGACCAATAGTCAATTGACAATGACCAACACAGTATCGTCTCAACATCCTCCATCTATTATGACAAATGGAACTGCCGCTAATTCATACAGCCAATATGCTAATTTTACTCAACTTTTGCCCACTTCCAATATATCTCAGATGGGTTCTACGACTGTAAGCGGTCATCACAATCATCATCATCCACATCATCATCAATCTTTACTTTCCGGTACATCATCGACAACTAATCCTGGTTTACATGGCTCTCCTGGAAGTTTAAATTCTGGTGTTACACATCAGAATTTAGGATTGCCATTAAGTTTAGGAGGATCTCGATCAAATTCAAGTCGTGCATCAAGCACAACAAGTAGTCCAGCATCACCATCAACGCCTACATGCAGTACAAGTAAATTATCCAATAATAATCGGGTTAATTTACATCAACGTAATATGGCCACAATGAATAGTCAACAACAGCCGCAAGGATCTACCAATTGTGTGACTACAGTATCTGCCAGTAGTACAACAAATAATAATCAAATATCCGTAGAATGTGTAGTTTGTGGTGATAAAAGTTCTGGCAAACATTATGGTCAATTTACATGTGAAGGATGTAAATCATTTTTCAAACGTTCAGTACGTCGTAATCTAACCTATTCATGTCGTGGTAATCGTAATTGTCCGGTGGATCAACATCATAGAAATCAGTGCCAATATTGTCGTTTACGAAAGTGCCTCAAGATGGGTATGCGTCGCGAAGGTAAGTTTGTATCCATATTTTATTTTTTTACATACACACACACACTCAGATATATGTTAGGATTCTGATGTTATCGGAAATGGTATACAAAGATCAAAAAGTATACAATAGATATGCGTGTTACATTTCATCATGTTGAATAACATTGTAAGTTCATATAATGTAGCCACACACATAAACGCAAAATACTAATATCAACTGAGGATCAATTGGAACATGATCCGCCCATTATTTGAATCCTTCTGTCATTGTTATCCAGGCGCAAGCGTATGTTTAATAGAATACCAACAACAGCAACAACAAAAAAGAGGACTGGCTACGGTTCCAAATGGAACACTTCCATAACATTTAGATTGAATGAAAAGAGGAGAGATTCAATGTTGAATCCAACCAAACAAGCCTCATTTCAGTTTGGCGTCGATCATTGGCCACATCGGTTCCATTGGATAAATTTTCGTTTATTTTATTCTAGTCCTGTCAATCATTTCTAGTCAAAAAAAAATGTCAATCGAAATTCTATTAAGTGATGAGCCATTTATAAAAGCTCGTGATCGTTGTCGATCTGTTTCCTCTGCCAACCAAACTGCACAGAATCAAAATTCATCAAATGATGGTGATCATAATAATAATGATGAAGAAGATGATGAAATGATGGTTGTGGTCAAAGTGGACGAATCGCCTTCACCTTCAATTGATGATCAATTATTATCATCTAGTCAAAATCGATCTAGTCCTCAAACCAATTGTGAAGAACAATATTGTGAATTAATGAATATTGATAAAGGCAAATCATCTCTAGTCAATTCACGATCATCGGATAGTAAATCAATGACAAAACCGAGCAGTACAAAACGACGTGCATCCAAAGATTATGCAATCCAACATTCCAATGCTTTAGTTGTTTATGATCCAAATCGATCAGTTGTCGCATCTGAATCAGAAAATTCATTGAATATTTATGATGGATCATCACGCCAACAATCAGCAATCACACCGGTATTAAGTGGCAATCATTCACCACTTGCTGGCATAATGCCACCTTTTCTTTATTCACCATTATTTTTTCCTTCACCTGCATCAACCGGATTGGCAATTCCCGGTTCGTCTAATTACGGATATCCGACATTATCATCGCATCCAAATACGGATTTAAGTCAAAATTCTCAATCGTCAATAACATCATATAATTCGAATGATAATTCTAAACAAATTGCTTCTACCAACAACACTCAATCATTAGAACAAAATCGACATTCCATTCATAATAATAATAATAGCAATACAATGATTAATTGCATGCCAACATTGTTGGGAATTCCAATGCCATTTTTATATCCTACCGCAATTGTTAACAATAATAACAATAACAATGTTCAGGCTGCAAATCAATCAACTAATACTGCTAATTTGCAATCAACACCGGAACAGCAACAACAATTCTTAGCGGCAGCCGCTAGCCTTTTCCTTTATCAACAACAACAAATGGCCGCAGCGCATGCATTATATGCCGCAAACACTTGGTCTAATCAATTTTTTTCTTCTAATCCTTCTCAATCATCAACAAATTCCAATGCAGCGGTTCAACGCGGTCGTGTTCCTTTGACTCCAACTCATTCATCGTTTACAGGATCCACAGCGGCTCATTCACCTGCAGCTTTAGCTGCCGCTGCTGCAGCTGCACTTGGTTTAAGTCCAGTTGCTAATGGATCATCAATGGAAACATCACATCATCATCAATCGCAACAGCAATCACAAAATGCAAATAGCTCAAACAGTCGTATTCTATCGTCGACCAATAACAACAATACAGCCGGTCAATCACTTAACTCGGTCAATGGCCCGGTACCAAACATGGATGGCGGAAGTAACTTATCAGCAACAGCAGCCACAACTTCAACACATACGGTGGCCAATGGTTCGAATGGCAAATATAATTTACAAGGTTATGTATCTTTATTGCAACAAGCAGAATCGACCGTCCGATTGACACAAACGATGCAACAGCTGCATAGTACATCGACCAATGGATTGTTAAGTATTGAAACCATGTGCGAAATGGCTGCCCGTATATTATTTGCCGCTGTCGATTGGGCAAGGAAAATACCTCATTTTCCGGATCTTCAAGTACAAGACCAAGTTTCCTTACTTCGTATGGTATGGTCAGAATTATTCATTTTGAACGCAAGTCAATGTTCAATGCCAATGCACACTGCTCATTTATTAGCAGCTGCTGGTCTTCATGCCAAGTAAGTTTTTTTTAAACGCAAAGATTTAAATCCTCAGTTAATCATTTAATCATATATTACAGTCCAATGGCAGCAGATCGTGTAGTGGCCTTTATGGATCATATTCGAATATTCCAGGATAATTTGGAAAAATTGAAAGCCCTACAAGTGGATGCAGCCGAATATAGCTGTTTGAAAGCGATTGTATTGTTTACTACCGGTAAGTTGTTTGTTTACTTCCTCCGCAATTATTTATTCGACGATAAACAAATGAATTTGTCAATGTTAAAAAGTGTATTATTTTTGTTTGTTTGTTTGTTTGTTGTTGGCTATTGATGCATTGCATATATGCATAGCATTTAACCTTTGTTGCCATATGACCTCCATAAATAGATTAATTTGAAAATAGTAAACATTGTAGCCAAAATGGCGATTTATCATCACTATATTGATGTTTATCGTCTTGGTAGTGGTAGTGAGGGAGGAAAGAATAAAATCAACAATTTCAACGACATTGATTAAAAAAGATCAAAGTCTAATGTCGGTCATGTGTCATGTATTTGTATGATATTTGTGTCGATGTATTGATGGCCATCATGGTCGTGATAACGAAGACGAAAAAACAAAACAAAAAAATTTCTTTGACGGCGGAGGGGTGATGCCTACTCACCCAAATATATATATTTGGCAAGTTTGTTCTTGATTTTGTTTTGACCAAGGTCAAAGGTTATAATGATATATTCGTTGCTGATTATCACTTGTAGCTTTTTATAATTCGAGTCTATTTTCAAGATAGGCAAACAGGCGGGTGTGTGTGTGCTTGATGGTGGATTTTCTATTCTGCCGGCAGAATGGTAAAATTAGAGCCATCCTCAATGATGATGATGACCAAAAATATAAGCATCGAAAGAAGCGAAAGTTTTTCTCGCTTTTCATTCTATATTTTCAAATGACCCTAAAAAAAGTCAGGGGTGATAATACGAGAGTTTTTTGTTGTTGTTGATGATATGTTTATGCTTGCCAAAAGTTTAAATATCAAAAAACGATCATTCGAAAAGACGAAAATCAGGCTACAAGGTCATTTTCGATGATCATCAACATTCAGCCATAGGCAAAGAATAAAATGTCTATCATCATCATCATCATAAATGATGATCACCTGTGTCTGTGCTCGACTTGATGATGGTAATACTTCTTTTAAGGTTTTTTGGATGCAGAACTTGGCCTCTCGAACTTATTTTTTACTTTTATGAAAACAATGAAAAATCTCTTATGGCCATTTTGAAGTATCTAAGCAAAACTGCTTCATTCACATAATGATGACCAGTATTTCATAAAGTCTGGACAAAGTGGCCCAACTTTGGTTTTGGTCGATAATTATGTTCAAAAACTTAAAACTAACAAGAGTTTATTGTGAAGTATAAAATTGAAGCATTACATTTTTTTCGTGCATTCAATTCTCTGGCCCATGGTTTTGCTTCGCCTCATTCATTTTTTTTTCTTTTGAGGGGGGTTGCAGCAATGACTTTCAAATATTTTGTTTCTTCTGTTTCAAATGGATTGACCGAATGTACAAGTGTGACAACTACACTTGACCCTTGCCGTCATCATCATTATTCACATACCTTTACAGTTAAGGTTAGGGGTCATTGAAACTTATGATGATGATGAACCAAATAAAAAATCAAATCATTTTCTATTGAATAAACGAATACGGTATGTTTGTTATTGTGTGTGACCGCAATAGAAAAGGTCACACAAAAACACACACACTCCTAGGGTCCTCCTGTTAAGACTTTTTGTCCTTAGTGTTCACAATCGATGAAGCCGATTATAATTGTATACCATGTGTATAGTTAGTTTTCTGTTTTTAGAAAACAGCAAGTTCATGACCTTTTTTTTTTGGCTGGGGCCACACCGAACTTTTTTCTTTTTGTTAAGAAAATGATTTGAGAAGGTCAAACGAATTTTTTTTCTTCACTTTATTTTGTACCGTTTCAACAACAACAAAGAAAAAAAAGAGTGGGAATCGATCAACAACCATATTTTGATAATAAAATTCTAATTAAGTCCTGGTCAGGTTATCATGTTGTTAAATTATCTTGTTACCTTTTCGTTTGACGTATACTGCAATAGAAGAATTTTTTTCTTTGTTTTTTCTTTGAAACAAGAATACTATAGATGATATTCATGTCAAAAAAAGCCGAATGGGTTATTATTGACCACACAACGGTTAAAGGTTAACACGTTTTGCACGTGTGCATTCATTTTACTCTTTCATTATTTTTTTGATATAGAAAAAAATAATAATAAAAGAGACTATGTCACCAGGTCAAAGGGCAAATCGAATGAATATATATTGTACTATTGTTGTTGGTTGACCACATCCGGTCTGATCTGATAAAGGGTATTGTGTATGGTTGGTTGGTTTTTTTCGATTTTGAGATTTTTGATTTTCGTGTTCCAGAATCAAGCATAAAAGAGTTTTTGTTTTTTTTTGTTGGTTGACGATGATGATCGATTGTCATAGACATACACACTTTTGCATACTGTCACCAACACACGGCAATCGATAATATTATGGCCACATGGATTGCTGAATCCAGTAAATCTGGCACAACCAAAAAAAAAAGTTGAATCGTTTATTTTTTTTTCCTGGTGAATAATGATCATAATGATGATAATAATGGTTAGCTATATTTTGTTCAATGAAGAGGCTACTTGATATGCCACTTTTTTGTTGTTGTTGTTGTTGTTCACTTAATGATCCAAATGGAAAATAGGAATTTCTCTCGTTGCAAAAAAAAATGTCTGGTGTTAATGGATTTGGCATCACAGCCTTTTTCAATGACTAACTGTGCAATATTCAACATTTACCGCATTTAGGGATTATTATTAGATTGGTAGTTTACTTTACTTAATGATGTTAATGATATGCTTTTTTTTATCTATCCTTGTCATCATCATCATTTTTTACTTGATTCTTTTCCCAAAATTGTAGTGGGAGTGTAAAATCTTCTCTCTTTTTTTTCGGGATCAAAGTTTAATCTTTGAAAAAAGGAAACAAGATTTGTTTTTTCTCCATTTGAAATGAAAAGTTGAAGAAAAAATGCTGATTACTAAGCTGGATTTTGTGACAAGTGTGGTAAACTTTTTTTCTTCCATTATTATAATTCAAAAGTTTCAATTATCAATTAGATTGATGTTGAAAAAAAAAGAAAATTTTCCATGGAATATTTAATTGAGCATCAAATTTCCACAAAAATATCTCGATAAAATGTCTTTTGTCAATTTTTAGTAGTCAACGAAAAAAAATTGGAAAAACGATTTACCACACTACTTGAAACCTTTTTGATGAGAAAAAGAATCTCTTTTTTTTTATTTGCTTCATTTGATTATTGACATTGTGTATATGTATCATATTTGAAAAGATTTTTATAACTGTTGGTTGGTTGGATTGAATCATTTTTTTATGATGATGATGATGATGATTTGTGTGGTTGACACAAATCAAATGATGTTCATTGGCCCTGAGAATTGATGGTGTTTGTAAATTAGAACACATCTCTCCTCATAGACAATAGTACGCATTGTGTACGTAAATTGAAAGCAAATTGAATTTGTACCAAAAGCCATAACCGTGAAAAGCTGAACAATTTTGAATAGAATGAATTTGTTTTCAATGTTAGCCGGCAGCAGTAGCGGGTAAAAAAAAATTTTGGACAAAACGGTTCACTCACTGTCACTGTTATTCTCTGATATGTTTTTGGTTTTCGGTTTGATTTGATTTGACTTGATTTCATTTGATTTGAATGAATGAATAAATGAATGGGATGAAAAGCTCTTTGTTTGATTGAATCAAATCATATTAATGTGTTACTGTTACTGTTTTTTTTTCTTTCTTCAATGTTTGCTGTTCGTGTTTACGGATCGTGCCGACAAATCGGTTCAGGATAGGGACGATCATTTTGATGAAAATGGTTTCATCATTGTTTGATAATAATTACAAATAATTGATGGATTTTTTTCTTTTCTTTATTTTTTTTAACGAACAGATGCTTGCGGTTTACAGGATGGTGGTCATATTGAAAGTTTACAGGAAAAATCTCAATGTGCATTGGAAGAATATTGCCGTATACATTATCCAAATCAACCGATACGTTTTGGAAAATTATTATTGCGTTTGCCTTCATTACGTTCAGTTAGTTCACATGTGATTGAACAATTGTTTTTCGTTCGTTTAGTAGGCAAAACGCCTATTGAAACATTAATTCGAGATATGTTAGTTAGCGGTAATAGCTATACCTGGCCATATATGTCTCTTCAATGATTTTATTTCAGATTTAACACACACACACACACTACACATTAAGAATTGTAATGTAATTGATTTGTTGTGCAATGTTATTCTCTTTTTTTTCTTCTTTCTTTCTATCAATTTAATATAAATACACTTACACATACTTATAAATGGTTTGTCTTTTTTTTAGAAATCAGCATCTCATTAGAAGAATTTTATCACATTTTTGATTATCATTATTATTATCATGATCAAAACGTAATGCAATTCAACGTTTTATAGACGAATAGATTATCGATTACCACCGACAAGATATTTCATAATGAATCGAATACATCATAAGTGAATTTTGGCTTATTGTTTTTTTTCGCTTATTCGTGAATTCGGCGTACCTTATATTGAAATGCCATTGAAATGGTGCCATAAATATTTTCTTTTTTTTCCTGTTCATTTGTCTTTTTTCAATTATCATAGTTTGTTTTTTGTGTTAGTTTATTACCTTGAAATTTTTCTTTTTTTCTCAATCTTTTATTTAGAACATTTTAAACTAACCAAAATGACTAATTATCATACAGAATCTCATAAAGATCTCAAATTGTAAATTTTTTTCAAATAAATCAATAAATTTTAAGTGAAAAAAATTAGCTTTCTTTGGATCCAAGATTCTTTGATTATTCTCAATATGTGTTAATTTCGTTAAAAATATATTTTTTTTTTCGAATAGCCTGGCCTACAACGAAGACAAACAGCAGCAGCAGCAGCAATCTTTAAAAAATGATATGCATAAAAACAAACTGAACTGGAAAAAAGAAGCTGTTGACCTTGGTCATATTGTTGGTTTCATGTCAAAGGTCACAGATGTTGTCAGCATCACCAGAAACAAAAAAAGAGCGCAACAGCACGTACATCATTTACATCATGATTATACAAACAAATATGGTCGTTTTTTTCTGTGCAAATACAAACATCATCATCAGCATATCACACGGTTTCTTACCAGAACAATATGATATTGAAATACAATTGATGTTTTTGGTTTTGTAAGGTGGTTGTTGTTTTGGCTCACACAACCACCTTGAATATAAGATTTTAGAAAAAATATCACACCAAACTGTTGAAGATCATAGGTCATAGGTGGTGGCCTTAAAAGTTCAAATCTTATGTATTATTTTTTTTTCTTAGTTTAAATTCAAATAATTTTCATCACCTAATTATTTGGGCACTAACAACAACAACACAAAGTGATGGTCATCAATCAATGATCCAAAATCGACAATTAACAGATCGATACTCGTTTGTAGTCCTTGTAACCAATATGAAATCTATGGAAATTTCAATTTATCTTTCAAGCCAGAGGGCCTTTTATGTGATTGTCAACTTGAAGGTGTTATTTTTTTTGGGTGAATCAATATTATATTCGCAATAATTGAATCAAAATCATATGATCTATCCATACATTTATTGAATGGATGAATGAATTCATCAGCAATTGAGACTTGGGTCATAAACACACTACAAGATAAAAGATCTATCATAGGAATTCCAAAAGTTAGCCTTGCGGACAAATATCTTTTCTATCAATGAAATCAGTTCAAATTTTTTTTTGAATAAAATTATTATTATTATGGCAACAAAAAAATGGTTCATCAATGAATTTGCTGTAAGCTATGCTATTCATTTTGCTCACCAGAGATTTTTTTTCTTCTTTTCCAAAATTTTATATTAGATTATCATCAATCAACAACGACAACAACAAACAGTAAATTCAATTCAAAATCAGTAACATTTTCATCACAGTTGACAACAACATATCAAGAATTATGGAATGAAAAACATGCATAACAAAACAAAACTTACCAAATGTCACAACTGAGAACAACAACAACAACAATTCGACAATTTGATTTCCGAGAATAACCCGAAAAATCAACCAGGAATGATGAATGTTTTTTATTTTTTTTGAAAATAAAAAATAAAAAATTTGTTTTGACATTTGACACCTTTCGTTTTCGTTATCATCCACTGTTTTGTGGTGACATTTATGATCTCTAAAATATTTTCGTTTAAATCGAAAAATGTCATATTTCTATGTTTGTTTGTTTGTGTCCGTTTCCTTGATGTAACTCATAAATACGAATTGAAAATATGAAAATAAAATGATTGTATTCATTTCTATCATTTCATTTCATATTTTGATGATGTCGTCTCCCAGTTGGTTATGGTGTGTGTCAAATATCAAATACAATCATCAAGAATCATGGATTCTTATCAAGATGGTGACAAACAAAAAAAAGATTGAGCTTTGGCGCGTAGCCTTGTTGACAATGATGTTCAATTCTGTTTACCATAAACTGTTAACTAGATTTTTTCCTCTACATTGATGATGATGAATTCCCACTTGACCATTGCCATAACTGTCACCTGCTATACTGTTACTCTAAAAATTTTTTATTTTCCTGGCTAAATTCAAATTCCATATAGTGGAAATACAAAACACACACACACACACACACACACACACATATTAATGACTTTTTGACAGTTGTAGTTTCAGTTGAATTTTCTTTTTCTTTCTTTTTTTATTACAATTGTCCGAAACAAATATGTTTTGATAATCGTTAAAAAATATTATCGTTTTATTTTCTGTTTTATAATAATAATTTATAATTTAAACGATATAAATAATTCAAAAACTATCATAATCGAAAGTGAATTCCTATAGTCAAAACAAAAGATTTCGTTATTTTTTTTGATGCGACAGATTTTCCTTTTAAATAATAATGAATCAAAAAAAAAAGAAAAATCATATTTTTCCATCATCGAAACATCATCATTGTTTGGCGACTGAATTGGACAAACATTTATAATGAGAACTGTCATAAAACAAAAAAAATTATCCACCAAATTCATTTCATTTCAAATATGCATATTTATCAATACAGAATAAGCTTCTGTTGATTTTAACCATCAAGGGAAACGGATTATAATCCAATTAATTTCTTTTAGTAGAAAAAAGAAGAAAAAATGTCATTCATTGGCGAAAAACATTTAAAACGGTTAGTATGGTTTCATTTTGGTTTTCATTTTTAAATGATGTCCAAACACAGAGACAGACAGCGATTGTTGCGAACGAACCAGGCATCAGAATGTAAAGGATCCGATTTCATTTCTTTTTTCGTTTTGTCAAATGTCAAATCATCTAACGGTGTAAAGTTTTGAATTTGTAGCAATATACACGAAACAGTATAGTTTCGATTATATATGGCGTGTGCAACTTTTTTTTTTTTTGTTTCTGGTCCGCAAATTGTGGTCGTTTTTGGTTAGTAGACATTATTTTCGGTATGGCCTTATTGCATTTCATTATGTTTTTGCATTTTTGGATGAGATGTCAAAATGTCATAGATGAACATATTCTACTCAGTAAAAGCAGTAAAATTTTTGCCAATGATGTAACCCAATAGGTGTATTTGCTCATTTATTTGATATATTTTGAATTTTTCGTATATATGGATCCCAAGTGAACATAATCATCAACAATGAAGACAATGATCTGGCCAATATATAATAATGGTTATTTCTAATTGGACAATCATTCTATACTTTATAACCCACAATACGATCATTATTGTGATCAGAAAAAAAAGATGGCTGCACCCATTATTCACATGAACATCAAGCCATCAAGCCTGTTTAATAAATATCATATTACTACTGATCTTTCCATAATATACTAACTAGGTTATTGACTGAGGTATTTGCTAAATAAAACCGAAATTCTTGCCTTAACGGACTTCATTAATGAATGAAGGTCCCATGTCGTATCGATCACAAAAAAAAGCTGAGATCTCGGGAAGTTTTCGGGAAAGTGACATTAAAAAACAAGAAAAAGTTTTTATGAAATATATAATGCTTATTTTGTTAAGTTTTTTTATTATTTTTATCTAAAAATGGTTATAACTCAATAATAAAGTCAATTTCTTATTAATTAATCACGATAATACTTTTCAACATTTTATTCATTTATTATCATAAGAATCATATCAAATTTAGATAGACAAAAATTTCAATGGATACAATAAAGACGATGGAATTAGTCAACACGATAAATGCTAAGCGGCTGATGCAGAAACCACTTCAATGTAAATTTACATTTTGAATTTATCGTAGAAGTGAACGAACTAAATAGGGAATAATTCAATGATCAATTTTTGAGATAACGGTCAAATAAACAGAAAATAAAAAAAATTCGCATAATTAGTAATTTAATAATGACCATTGCGATGACTACGATCTCTATGGCTACTGCCACTGCGATCACTATATCGATCTCGATTATGATAACCTCGTCGATCATTTCGATCTTTTTCGCGTTCAGGAGCTTCTTTCGATCTGGAGCGGCTTCGACGACGCCTACGGTCCTCATCATAACGGGAAGAACGGCCACTTCGGTCGGAATTGTAACGACTACTACCGCGTTGATGGCCTCTATCACCATCATGTTCCCTTCTCATTTGTTTATATAAGCCTTTTTTTCGATTATTTTCCACCAATTCCCGCAATTCTTCCAATTTTTCTCGACTGAAATAGAAAAGAAATACTTTTAATATAAAATTTCAATAAAATTTCTAAATACTTACATAGTTATAAAGCCAAGATGAAGTTTGCCTCCAAAATGGTCAGCCAATCTACGATCGTTATCTTGGATACCTAGATAAGCGGAACAAACTTCGCACACACGAAGTTTTTGTTGTTGATAGCTGGAAGTCGGAATAGAACTTTTATATTCGGCTTCTGCAGCGTTTTTTTCCTTCTTAATTTTTTCTACTTCTTCCATCAATCTGAGCGATTCTTCAACGTTTCCTTCACTTCCAGCAGCTTCAGCAGCCGCTAGCTTCTTCCCGATAGATTCAGCTAATTCATGAACTCTATTGAGCTTTACAAAAAATGAAATAAATAATTATAAAGTTTGATGATTTTCAATGTGAACAAGTAAATACCTTTTCAGAGGCTTCAACACTTAGCTCTTCTTGTGTTTCGGCCAAACGTTTTTTAGCTACTTCAGTTCGACGATCAGCATCGGCGACAAATTGAGAAAGATGTTCAAAAGCCTAAATTGACAATGCATGATACAAGTCAATGAAACACAATGAAAAATTGATCAAATGTTTCATTACAGTAAAATACAAAAGAAATGTGAAAATAATGAACAATTATAGCAATGATAAATGATGAAATGAAGGCATTTATTCGGATCAATTATCAAGAGTAAAATGAAATAAACTCACAACAAAAAAACGGCCCTTTAATCGATTCGACAATGAAACCGAAACTGTATTTCATTGACAAATTTTCTTTCTTACAGGTTTGTTTCGGCGATATTTATGGCTGATACATAACTGTTCAGAATGAGTTTAATAGATATTGTCATCAACGAAATGATTTAATTGAATACGTACGTAAGCAAACACGATGGTTATCAATTCGTTTCAACAACAAAAACAACAACAAAACATCAATTCCAACATAACCACTAACCATGTTGAATGAAAAAAAATGAAAAAATGAAAAAAAACAACACACAATATTACATTTTTTTGATGTGGCGTCATTTTTGTCTGGTATTTCATGCTATATAAATGTAAGATGTAACTTACGAATATAATTCTCATGGTCATCATCTTGTCAAATTCTATTAGATCTCTATTAAACTCTGATCAGAAAACGATGGTTATCATTGGGATTAATTATCATACACATACAGATTTGTGTTGTGAATGTGTTCCATTTTTGGGTGCGTAATACCCAAGTCCAGATCAATAATATGTCCGGTATCGATTCTGAACGAAAAGTTTTTGTTTGTCGGAATTGAAAATTCATTTTTTTAAAAAAAATATAGATAGGAAACATATATGTTGTAGGTTTGAAGATTATCAATAAAGAAAATACGTACACAATACGTGATTCGGTTGGCCGAAAATCAACATGGATCGAATTTCAATTATGTCAACAAATGTCTATATCAAAACTACTACAAGATGAATGATTGAAATATAGGAAAAACTTACATTTAATTCATATCCATAATGTTGTGTTTTACTTGCTTTATTATAATCTGCTCGTAAAGCAAACTCATGAACTTTGGGACATTCACCAATATCCATTCGCTAATCAAAGAAAAGTTGTGTTAATAATCATAGCTATAAGGTGATTAATACTTACAGTCGAAGCAAGAATTTCATGAGGACAACAATCCAGGAGAAAACTTTTGCAAACTTGAGGATCATTAAAACGATATTTGGTTGATCGTTGTTTATCATCTTAAAACGAAATAGAAATAATTAGTAAATGATACGAGATTGGTAATAAAATTACCTGGACCAACTCGTGAAGTGCCCATCAATTGATCGAGCATTGCTCGCATCTGTTCGGTGGCCGACATTTTTTCTTAATTGTTAATTTTCGTTGTAATTCAAAGTAACGGAACGAAACGCAGATTAAAAAATGATCAATTGTTTTTGTACCATTTATGGAACTCAAGCAACAACGAAATGAGCAATTGTAAACATTTAAAGAAACGGGCGAATTAATCGTTTCATTCGATACAATCGATTATGGCCAGAATGTGATTCGAATCAATTAAATTCAAGCTTGACTTAATGTAATAGCAAATAAAAATGTATTTTATTCTGTTTAGATTGGTTTTGAAGAAATCTCTTTTAATCAACATCGGTAAGTTCAATCTCTTCAAAATCATTTCTTGTTGATTTATTCAAATTACAAGTTCTAAGACGTCTTATAGCATTTGGTCTTCTGCTCAGAACTGCATTTTTTTGCTTTTTTAACAAAGATTTTTCTTCCACATTTCGGCGCTTTTGCTTTTTTTGTCGAAGCAAAGACAAAAGTTCATGTAACGTAGTTTCTTGATCTCGAATAATCATTTCTAGGATGGCAAGTTTTTCCATTTGTTCCATACAATTTTGACTATATAATTCATGAAAATTTTTTGCCGATAACATTCGCAATGATTTCTTAAATCGACGACAAGATAAGGAAAATTTCAACAAGTCAACAAATTGTATCACTCGCAAATTAAGTGATCGTTTCTTTAATGTTTGGCCATTTCCCGTCATTGTGATCGAAGTAGTTAACGGCCTGGAAGAAGATTGTTCAAGTAATCTTCGGGACCGATAAACTTTCCAGGCACTTTGAATGACACGAGCTGCATTATTCTCCTGTAATTCACTTCTAATCGTCTCTTCGTTCTCTACTTTAAGGGCCAGACCGGCTCCAATAATACCACCCGGTAAGCTAAAAACTGAAAGGCCCAAGATCACTGCAAAAGCGGTAACGATTTTACCGGTTGTTGTAACTTGAAAAACAAACATATAAATTATAAATTATTGTTTGATTGAAAATTCTTACTAGGATACGTATCACCATAGCCAACTGTTGACAATGTGATCAATGTAAACCACATTGATCGACCAAGTGTCCCTAATTGTTCATTGTTATTTTGTTCAATGAGAAACATTGCAAACGATGTAAAAACAAATAAAATTAAAGCAAAATATAAACATAATAAAAGCTGAAATCTTCCATTCCATATTACGCTGACAATCAATCGCCATAATCGATATTTATGTTCGAAAAATTGTAGAATACGGAATCCTCGTAACAATGATGATATCATTGTAATATCATTATGATTTGTAACAATACCAATCACAGTAGTGATAATGATTAATAAATCCAATAAACAAATGGGATCCAATATAATACGAATCGAAATGAATCGATTCGATCGATATTTTGGTAAACATGAAGATGCCCATATCTGTACGATGAATTCTAAACTGAATGTTATTGTCATTAAGATATCAAGCCAAAACAATAGAATATCTGGACAGCATATGGATAAAATCAAACATGTTGCTGCTAATGTTGCAATAAATATTTGATATAAAATGCCAAGAAAATGTTGTGGTCGATTCAAGAATAAATAGGTCTGATAACGGTAACGGTCATCAGATAAAAATTTTAAAAATTTGCCCATTTTCATTGTTTGTTTTCCAATTAAATGGATGTGCAAACTTTACGTGTTTGCATCTACAAATATAATCCCTTATTCTAAATCGTCAGAAAACAACTGTTTTTTTTTCTGTACGTTTTGACAAGTCCATATGGCAATATGATTGATTTGAATACAGATTAATGTGAGGGCGCTTAACATTACTGGTGACAATTAATCATTGAATCGATTGTTACATTGATCATCATCAAAGAAAAATTGAATTAAATGTATAAATGTTGGAAATCCTCGACAAAAACAAAAACAACGATACCTCGAGAACATTGTTCAAAGCATAACATCTTTTCGCATTTTATGGTTTCTTGGCAACATTTTTTTTCCCCAAAATGAATCTATCAATTATAATCTTTATAACAGGATTAACTTTATCATCTTTTGGAAGAATCCTTCCGTCCAAAAGTAGGGGTAAATATTTAACTGGAATATTTGCTAAACTCATTCCATTTTTAATCATTTTCTTAAAATGGTATTTTTTGTTTTTGTTTTAAAAACATACCATTGCACAGGTAAAAGACAAAATAGTAAGTTTAGTAAATATTTTTTCGTCAACATATGATCGATTTGTATGTTTTTTTTTGTTGGGAAATTTTTTTTTCGTCATTCATTTATCATTTCCGTCGCCAAAGTCATTTTATTTTTCTTGAATGACCATTTTTTTTGTTAGTTAGTGAAAAGATGGGCCTTCGATTGGAAAGGTATTCTCTCTACACTTGATAAATTACTTTTAAAAAAGATCCATTATTTTCAGCAAAATTGATTTTTGTAAAAAATGAATTTTTTTTCTCACAATTAACGATCGAAAGTTAAAAAGGAGAAAAGAGAAAAAATTCTCGAAAAACCAAAAATGATAATGATTCATTCATGATTTTTTTCCTAATCATTCATACATTTGTTAAAATTTTTCAAGCAGTTATTTATAAAATATATCATCATGGATTCATCAGCCATCATGACCGAAATTCCTGATTATGATCAGGAACTTTTTTCAATGGAAAGATTGAAAAAATATTTGAATATAGCCATAAAAAGATTTAATCCAGTAATAAATTCACATAATTCGATCAAAAATTTTATGAAAAATGTACTGCAAATTCAACGACAATATGAAATTCGTCGAACATGGACTCATCATTTTCGATTGAAATTGGCTTTACATTTATATTGTTTATTTCTTCATGCTTCTCTGTATATAATTGATTACAGTAAGATTACAAGAATATTATTGCTTGACCTTACATACATTATGGTCATGAATGATGAATTCCGTTTCATCAATCTTATTTATATGGGCTTGTACGCTGTAGCCATTTATTCGGATTTTCTTTTTTATTTAAACAATTCGCAAGGTACTCTTGATCATTTTCAACTATTGAATCAAGTCTATTATGAAAACGAACAACAATGGACTGGCTGGAATCCTCATCTAAAGATAAATATTTTTAAAAAAAGATCATGTCGTTCAGTGAAACGTTTTCTTGATGGTGTACTTTTCTTTTTATCACTAATTACTGGTAATAATCCATTAATAATAATTTCCTTTATTATCACATATAACAATTATTCTTAATTCTATACAGAATTTTCTCTAGTAGCTATGTCTTTCACTTTGTGGAAGAATCGAACCGAATATTTAACCGAAAAATCTATATTAAATACATTTCTAGCGATAGGATTTATTTTGTTCGGAACGACATTTTGTAGAATTCGTTTTCATTCATTATTGTTTCATTTTGCTAATGTAATCATAAGCATTATTCTTTTTAGCAATATGGTTTTCTCATTTTTAAGCAATGTAAATCGGATACTGTTACATTATAGTCGAAAAATAAATTATATGTCATCTTGTCATAAGATTAATACGAAGAAAATTTTGCAACTCTTTATTTCAACACATCAAGCATGCTGTGCAGAAGTATCTAGATACAATCTTGTTATAGGTCGTGTATATACTGGTTATTGTATAATGGTATTGCCCATATCATCGATTATTTTGGTTCAATTATGGGCAAATAACGATGACGATTCTTACAAAATAATGATGTATATGTTCTATGCGGTTACCATTGTTGTAATGTTTTCCGCACAATTACTTTTCAGCCATTATTCAGCAATATTACATCAGCCTTATTTACCATTCTTACATTTACATGATCATAGTGTAAAATTTAATAATTATCATTCATTACATATAAAATCATTAACATATGGCTCTACTATACTTGGTACTGATTGGAAATTGGGTATCACATTCGATAGATATATAATGACAATGACACATCATGGACTTTTACAGGTAATATTCTTTAAAAAAACAAACTTATTCGATAAATTTTCTTTTTCATTTATAGTGTATATTTTTATATGTTCAAATGATATTAATCACTCAAACTTTGTTAACAAATCGTTTATGATCAAATTCTTTTCATCGTTCATTCCAAAAAAAAGCCAAAATAATGTTCCAATAATCCATGAAATTAAATGTAAATAGTTTAAGCAATAAAATTATAATCGTAATGTATAATAAAAAATAATTTATTTTTTTGAGTCATTTTACACATAAAACACACACACACACACACATGAAATGCATACATTAATTTACGAGGGAGAAAAAATATTTTTACAAATGAAAAAAAAATATTCAATAATTCTTGTGTCCAATAAACAAAAACATGAATTAAATTAAAATTCATTGAACATTTTGAGATGAATTATTATTATTATCTGTTCGAATGTGAATTGATGTTAGTTCAAAAATAGAAAATATTGTTTGTTTTTTTTTTATATTTAAAAATTCAATCAAATACAGAACATATAAATAATTATCGTTGCATTGTTCATAACAATGGCTTATTTAAATGATTAATACACAATTAGTAAATTAAAATTCAATTCAATGATAAAGGCACTTGAAAGTATAAGAATGATGGTAATGCAAAATCAACAGAATTGACGATTTAATGTAAATAAATATGAAACGAATTCAACATGTTGAATGTGGATGATGAAATGAAATGAAAATGACTCGGACCAATTTACAATAATTTTAAAATCCTAATAATCCTTTTTCATTGATCGAATTTAATTCATTAGTTTGAATTTTCAAAATGATAATGGAACTTTGAATTAATGTTTTTTTGAAGTGATAATAGGATTCTTGAGAACCAAAGCACTTTCAGAGGAAATGATTGGTAAGCCATTATTTCGATGATAATTGATCAAATGACTAACGCTTTCGAATGTTTTATCTTTTGTTCGTACCTGGATGATTAAATAAACAAATTAAATTAAAATATGAATAACAAGATATGTGAAAATATAATACACATACCACTCCTTCAGGATCGACCAATAATAGATGTTTACGATGACCACCTTGCATTCCGGTTAGGACATATTGACCAGGTGATGCTTGTGATTCACGAACCAAAAAATCGCCATCTCGTGTTACCAATGCTTCACTATCTTTACGAGATATTGATCCGTGGAACCAATCTTCTTTATGTAGATCACAATTAGGAGCATAATCCAGTTTTTGTAAACCCGACGTGGATGGCAGGCTTTGCGATGACTGACCTGTAGTGGTGGATGATACATGAACGGCAAGAGCATTGTTGAAAGGTTCTGTTCAAAAATGTCCAGGTTATAATCAAATGATGATACATGATAAAAATGAAACACTTACGCATATCAAAAGGATCTTTATCAGCTATGGAAGTGGTCGCAGCAGTTGTTTCAGATGTTCCACAATTGACATATCGGGGATCGGTGGGCAAAATATTTTTATTCAATAGATTACTATTACAAGCTGATGAATTCAAAGATGGTTTTAGATCATCATTCAAATCAATAAGATTGATTTGTTCTTCTTGCGGATTATTACTGGTTGTAGCCGTTGTAGAATTTATTGATGGTTTTTTGTTCCGAGGTGCGGCCATAGGGGGAGTTATCATTTTATTTGTGATACCGTTGTTTATTGTCACTATGTCAGGAGGAATTTTGCCAGGCAAGTCGTTATAATATTCACGATCTTCGATCCTTTGTGCAGGAGTTATTTGAGAATTGTCGTTATTGTTACTTATGGCTGTTTTATGACTATTATTTGTTCCTTGATGAATATGTTCTAGCCTATAGACATAAATGGTTAGACTTTTCAATAAAACACGAAAACTATGCAAAACTTACCTTTCGGTAGACAATGGATTTCTTTTGAGAAATTCATTGAATCTTAATTCAAATGCTTGTCCAATAGTTGTAATAACTTCTTGAGCTCGACCATCTTCACATTCAAGAACAAAACAGGCTCGTTCAAACCGTGAATCTTTGGCAACATATGCAGCAAAATCAAGTGTATCCTATCAAATTTAATGATAAGATTGTAGTCATGAAAACAAAATAAAATGATCATCACTTACCGTATCACCACCTGATGCGAAAGAAATGTTTGGCATCTCATGTTTGGCCAAAGGTTCACCCGTTTCAGCTAACGTTAATGTAAGATATGAAATAGTAATCGAAAGATTTGCATCAACACCAGCATGTTCTATTTTATGATGGAATACGAAAAAAAATGGAATCAATAAAAGTTAAATCATAATTTTAAAAAAAACAACTTACCCATATTGGGTGTATCGGCCAACATTCCGGCAATTCTTTTATCAACACGACGTTTTTTATCCACCGTTTTCAAACCGGCTGATTCGCAAACGCGATTTATCGATTCTTTGGCAATCAATGAACGTGTTTGAAAATCTAAACTTTTCATTGATGTATTGACACTTAAACAACCAATGTACTGTTTAAAAAAAATAGACAAATAAAAAAATAAAATGATAAGATAAAATAAATCAAAAAAAAAGCATTCAAATATTATTATAAGACACACAATGATAAAATTTTTAATTCCGGTGTGATTGTGTGATAAAGATGAAAAGCAATCAAACAAACAAATAAATAATCATTCATTTTTTTGGATTAATTAGAGCTGATAAAAATTTTTTGTCATCAATAATAATTGATATAATCAAACAAATGCTTTGCAATCAATCAATCAATCAAATTTATCAAATGGACTATAGCATCAATAATCATTGTTCATTGAAAAATTTATAATGATATTATTAATTGATTAATACTTGGAAATGTATCATCAATAGTGATTTGAGTGTTTTTGAGTATAGCTAATAAAATCGAATGTTTTTTGAATGGATGTTTGATTTTTTTTAATGATGGTAAAATTTTCATCATAACAATCATCAATCAGAAAACAAATGATTCAAATACTCAATTATATCGTATTACGTAGTAGCTGTTGCATATATATCCACGACAATATTTTCAATAATGATCATCATCATTCTCTAAATGATAAATGTCTCCATACACACATGTGTGTCATTATTTTTCAAACAAACATTGGATAATAGAAATTTTTACAATAATAATGTTGTCCAACTTATGCTGTATATTCGCCTCATTGGTAATAACATAAAGAAATTGTAGGACAATGTTTCCAAAATATATGAATTGAATACAACTTGGGAAAATCAACCAAATTGCCAAAATCCACAGGTTGGATACCTCTGTGCTAGATCAAACAAATCATCAACAAGAGGAATATTTTGTCATGAAGCTAATTCACATTTAGACTCTAAATTTTTTTTTTTGTTTCCTCTAGACAGCTAGGAAACAATCTACTACCATATTAATAATCAACAATAATTCATGTAAAGATAAAACTCTAGCAAGTCTATATACTAGACATTTTTATGAATATTGATGATCATTCAAATCACAGTCTGTCATCCATATGCAAACAAACAAACAAAATTTTTTTTCATTTATTAAATAAAAAAACTGGAACCGAGCAGTCTGGCCAGGTCATGCTCAATCTATTTTGATATGTTGATATAAATCAATAGAATATCACTTAAGATAACAAGTATAGAAAAAAAACTATATATTTACAAAAAAGACGCCCAACAAATGATTAGTCTATCAAGGATTCCAAAAAAAATCATGCTTTGAATATGAATTCAAATGTCGATATGTAAATAATATATTGTCAAGGAAACTGATAACAGATGAGCATATCAGATGATTAAAATTTTAGTACATTGTTTATTCATGCATTGTTATACATTAATATTTAACTCCTTAAGAATTATTGATTCTATCTCTATTTATAGATTAATCCGTTTTTTTCTATCTCAAAAACGATGAAAAACAAACCAAGTGAATCAGATGATCAATTTTTTATTTGAACAAGTTGGCCAAAGAAAAAACAAAAAAAAATAGACATAATTTTCACATCTGCACAAACATTATTATGCAGTCAGGTGATGTTGCAACAAGTGTCACGTACACGTGTAACAACATTATCATTAATGATAGTGTTTTTTTTTGCTTGAATTTAAGGTCGTCGAACGAATTTATTATCATTATCATCTGATAACATATGAACATCAGAATGGAACCAGAGCGAAGAGAATGAGATGTACTAGATAAAAAAGAGAGGTGTATAATTTAGTTTCCAATCTTCCAAGTTTTTAGCATTAAAATGATCGGTTCGTTAGTTTAAAATTGTATTCGTTGGTTGATATATATGGAGCGCACGTATGCCATATGTCGAGCAGGACAAACGAATGGCCCAAACACCCACACCAAACTATGGGTGGTTTTTCCTCTCTTACAACAACACATAAACCATTTCGATGATAATTTCCCTCTCTTTTGACGTTTTTCGTGTGTGTGTGTTTGTATGTCAAGATAGCAAGATATCAGAACGAGACAAACAAAGTACAAAAAAAAAGAAAACAGCCCACAGAAAATGAACCAAGTAAATAACTATGGACCACATATGAGAGGAGAATACAAATAATGAAAAATAAAAATAAAAATTACGATCGAATATAATGGGAGCGCGAGACTATCATCAACAACAACAACACGAACAATAATATAATACAACAATCGTGAGCATAGCACACGATTGTTGTTCATTACAATAATAATAATAATATTTGATTTCCCTTGGTGCTCCAATTTTTTTCATTATTATTCAACCATCAAAAATAGTAAAGATGTGGCCGATATTTCAAGCATCCATACGAAAGCATTTGTCGAACAAACCATTCCATTCATTCATTCATATATTCAATTTAAACTTGAAAAACAGTACCGATTGATGATGATGTTTTGTAGATCAAACAATTCATAACCTACCTTCTCTATTCATATAAATCTTTAGCTAGAGCCTTTTTTTTTTGCTTCCTCAGTAATTGTTTGATTTTTATGGAGAAAAAAATATATAAAGACACACATATGGTGGACGACACTTTGGTCGCTTGTGTGTTGTAATAAGCCATTTCCGTTCACACCAAAACAAAACCAAATAACAAAAAAAAATAAAGCTCATTGTGTATATATTTGTCGACGATTGACTTGAATGACTTGAAGAAAAAGAAAAGAAAAAAGAAAAACAACTTCCTTTCTCATCAAAAAAAAGAAGAAGAAAATTTCTACTCCACTGAAACGAAACGATGATTAAGCGGAGACAATAAGTGTCTGTACAAAAAAAATGAATGAATGAATGAATGAATGAATGAATCTTCACCTTGACATCTAGTTTAAATGAATGGTATTTACTGGATGAATAATTGGATGGTCTTTTCTTCTTCTATTTTTTTGGGAAAATGATGAGACTCGTTACCTCCAGACAAACAATTGACGAATTTGTCGCTTCCTTAAATAATTCATTATTATTATTATGGTCATCATCATCATCGTCATTATTAACAATCAAATGACTTGATGGACTTAACCAAAAAAAATGATCATATAGTAGAGAATTATGAGAGAGAGGGCAAGGTCCATCAAGATTTTGAGCAACTAAAATGCCTATACTGTATTGTGTATGACTGTTGGATTAAATGCATACAATTTCGACAATCAATAAAAAAAACATGAATACATGAATTAGTTTTGTGCAAACCAAACCAGAAAAAAACGCGCCAAATGGATCAACTGTTGCTTCAACGATGAAAATTTGCCTTCAAAGATGATACTTCTCCGCCTCTATATATAATGTCTTGGGTGAGGCATGGACGAATAACAGCGCCAAAAAAAAAGAAGTATGTTTTTTTTCAACAGCAGTAATGTGAATGATGTGAAAGACACACATCTGCACACTTGTTCACATTTATTTTCATTTATTTATCGACCCAAGTAAAGACAGCTTGACATAATGAAAATTACACAAAAAAAAATGAATATCAGTTCCTTAGGATAATGATCAACAACATTTTACATTCCAGAATGGCAAAAATTGGTGGACAAGACCGAGAAAAAAAAACATAAAGCGGAAATTTAAAAGGAAATACATGGCTAACTTTTGATTAGAGTTGGCTTTTGGTTAATTAAAATTGTAAAAGCGTGAAAAAGACGAAGAATGCTTGATGTGAGATTTTTCTTTTGATGATGATGGCTGCTTTTGATGTTGGCTCTCGAAAGTTGTAAAAATAGCAACCCAAATTTTCATTTTTTTTTTACAACTTTACCACCATACTGAACCGCCTACACATATACACTCACAAAATAACATTATATTAGGTTGGAAAATTAATACGTTCGCTTTTTTGTAATAACTAAAAAAACATATAGCGATGATGATGATTGTATGGAACGAACTTATTTTATTTTCAAACCTAATACTTTTATACTTTTTTTAGCTGTTATATTTAGTCGGATATATTGAATTACGGGCATTAAAACAAAATATGAGAAAAAAAAACAAGATTGATTGTGAACGCGAGCAAAGATTGGTAAAAGCAAGAAAAAAAAGCAAACAAGTTCAGTTCAAGCGCAATCATCATCATTTTCGATGTAATAAAAAAAGACGAAGTATACTTCCGGTTGGCCTTCTGTCAAACATTACAAACTGTGTGTTTCACCACATTATAAGCCGCAAGGCAACCCAATCATTTTTAGCTCTATTAGTCCCATGTGTGTGTGTATCAAATATATATGATCGTTTCACAATTCGAAGCGAAGAAGGAAAAAAAATCCTATTTCAGGACAGATGGAGTTGAATCAAATAAATAAATAAACACTATGAATAACCGACTCGTTTCCAAATTTATTTGGTGCTCATTCAAAAAAAAAAATGACCCTTATGACATTCTAGACATGACAAACAACAGCTGGTCCAGGTGGTGACCAAATATACTAACCAAGAGTAAAAGAAAGAGAGAGAGAGATATATAAATAAAGATTAGACTGAAATAGAATTGAATTAGACATCCGGCCAGCTTAACAAAATATGGTTTGAATATTTTATTGTAGAAATTGAGCAAGAAAAAAACGATTCTGTAAGGCATTCACACAGATATCAAGTAAATTTTTTGGAATCGCTTGGACGCCCATAATCATTATCGTTATTGCTGTTTGTTTTGCCCCACAAATGAAAAACAAGAACAAAACATAAGCAAGAAAAGGACAAAGCAATGAAAAATAAAGCCAACAAAACATCTGCTGCCATATGTTGTATTTGCAAGTTAGCCAAGTTTTTTTTTGCAAAAAGAAAACCAAAACGCGAACACTTATGTCAAGTCAACCATCACCATCCGATCAAGCAAAACTATCAACCAACCAACAGTCTAAAAAAATGACGACCATCATGAAGATCATCGATATAGCCAATGTTTTTTTTTGGGTTCGCCACCACAGACACATTCAATAGTATTTTTAGCCCCAGGTCATCATCATCGTTAGTGCCAGGCCAGGCAGTAATCGAGCCAACCTTTTTTTTCTTCGGAGGGGCTGGAAAAGCTGGAAACTGTTTCGTCGTCGTGGTCTTCATCATTTCTTGGCTTTGTCTTATTCAACTAACGACTATTTGAGGGAAAGGAGAGTCGAATGTTTGGTTTGGCTGATGATGGCAGTGTGCGTGACCTCCACCAACCACAGTGGCATTAGTGCCGCTCTAAACATCGAATGTGATCATCATTCAATTCGCAATTCAAAAGTTGCTTGTATTTGCCATCACCACCACTACATTCGAAAATCTTTCTCTCTCTCACGCCGGTTTAATCTCTTCCGGCCACCGACTCATCATTCGAACAAATTCAATGATTGGCTTGTTTGTTGATTCGTTTTGCTGAAGCTTCGATAATCATCATATATACACATAGACTAAAAATCGTTGAGCAGCTAACATTAAAGGTCGTAGGGCAATTTTGATCGACTTTCGACCCTCAATGTTTGCTTAATGGGCTTATTGCTCGATAAATACATGCAGAAAAATAATAAAAAAAGGCGCCTAAATAATCAATGAACTTACTCTGACAGTATATGTAACACCTGGGCCATCCGTATCGGTCAACTTATGATCCGGATGAAGCCAACCACGTGGTGGCTTATTGATGAATTGTTGATGTTGTTGATGATGGTGATGACTATTTAGATTGTTGCTTGTTGTTTGCTGATTGTTTGAAGCATTGCTGGAACCAGCAGTGGTCACAGGATTTCCTCCTGTTGATGGTGAACAAGTGGCACATTGATTTAATGATGGTTGTGTTGTGGTAGATGAGGAAATTGTAGATGAAGGAGCACATTTACATGATCGAGAAGAAAATGATTCATTTTGAACGCCATTTGTAACATGCTGACTATGATTTACATTACTACCGGATACATTCGATGGTATCGATGATACCAAACTTGTTGTCGGAGATGATACGGCAACGTTATTAGTTAACGATGAACGACTCATATTGATGGTGGCTGAAGTTGAGGACGACATGTTTGACAACTGTTGATGTTTGTTTGGCTTATCAGCTTTTGGACGAGGTGGTGGATTGTTATTGGCACTACGTGGAACTATATTCGGAGCTAAAGAATTCAATGGTTGATGATGATGCGGCGGTAAAGGGGGAGGTGGTGTTGGTATAGGAGAAATCGTTGATGATGATGATGATAATGATGGTGAAGATGTACAAGATCTACTCGAGGTTGTTTTGGTGTGTAATGTTAATGATGGGGAGTTTGAATGATGATTATTATTGACCGGTGTTGATATCGATTGTATCGGTGATGATGCTAGAGCATCACACATTAATAATGAGTCGATAATGTTCGATGGTGATTGTTTTGATGACAGGGAACTTTTGTTAATGCTATTGTTGTTGTTATTACATTTAGATTTATGGATATTTTTCTCACCAATCGGACTGGACGATCGTTGGCTAACGTTTATGGTTGTAGAGAATTTTTTCGAATGTGGAGATGGTGGTAAACGAATATAACGTTGTGAATTATCAAGATTATATTGTCCTGATTCGTTTGATTTACGTAATGCTTCACGTTGTAGATTTTCTGTACCTTTAGCTACGGCAGACGAATGCGATGAAGAAACATTAGAAAGCGCAGAATTTCTTAGCTGACTAAGTTTACGGCCTAATTGAATTGGGCCTAATTTGGAAAGAAATGCAGATGCAGCACTAGTATTATTGTTGCTATTACCGATAGGCAACGATGGCACTGATGTGCTATTAACTGAATTACTACCACCAGATTGATGATTGGCTAAAGATGATGTTGATGAGGATGATGATGATGGTGACGATGAATTAGTGTCGACGAACTTTGATGGTGTTGAATGATGATGGGGTGAAAATGACAATTTACGAAATTTTCGTCGATAATTTAGTTGATTGACATGTCGAAGACTAGAACAATTGACCGATGACTGCGATTTAAAACATGAACATTGTTGCTGTTGTTGTTGTTGAACGGCTGCCGCTAAAAGACCTGCGTTTATACAATTATCATTTGATTCTTGACTTTTGCTATCTGAAACAACAGCTGCAGCGGCAGCGGCTACAGCAGCTAAATCGATCAATTGTCCAGCATTGGCCGTATCACAATCCAAATCTATGTCACAAGCTTTTGAATGATGATTATGATGATGATGACCAACCATTAAACAATGACCAATACCATCGATATCATCATCATCTTCATCGTTTTCTTCGCTTAGAAAATGATATTCATCTTCTTTGGGAACTGATGCACCTAAACAGAACAACATGATTGTTATAAAATAAAATAAAATTCTTTACACACAAAACGAAAAAATGGGTATAGATGCGTGTGGAATGCCAGAAAAAAAAACTTTATAAAAACAATAACAAAACACTATTTTGTTGAACAATATGAAAATGCAGGCAAATAATAATAAAACAAAATGATCAGCTCGCCATTTGATTCTTGGTTGAGAATCACAGTTGTGTTTGTGTGCGTTTAAGAAATTAAAATGGGCTAATTCATCACGAACAACAAAAACACACACACACACACACATATCAACAACATCCCAAACAAATCAGCACATATCGATGGATATTAATGACAGATTCGAGAAAAAAAAACAAAACAAAATTAACACATGAACAACATACACTACAACTGCACAATTCGATTGGAATGATTTTTTTTATTTATTTTTTTTTTATTTTTTGAACAGTATTGGGCATGTCGATATATTTAGCAGATAAGAATCGTGTTGTTTGAGGAGCTATTTTGTTGTGCATCCGCATGCAAAAAAAAAAATATATATTCAACAATATAGGTATCATCACAAACATATCCAAATACAGAATGAGCAACATAGCTATCCAAACCAATATACACACAAAATATAGACACAGCCCAGACAGGTACTGTTGTGATGCTAGTAGCATTAATTAATAATAGTGAAAAAGAATCCTAGATGCTAACAGCATTCTTAAATGAAATAGAAAAATTTGTTGTTGTTGTTGCTTTGAAAACATTCATTTTTGGATAATACCTCTACCACAATTTACTAATGGCTTTTTTTCATTCATTCATTCGTTCATTCATTCATGTTTAAAGTTGGATTCATTGAGAAGAAAATCAACAAATTTTTATGAATCAACAAACAAAACAGATGGCAATGAGAGCAAGACGGATTTTCAACTATCAAACAAATACTTGAGAAACCGGCATTCTTTGCCACTACCTAAGACAGTAAATCCGCCAAAAAAAAAATAGGATCGGAACAAACATACCGGCAACGATATTATGCTAGTGGTAACTACAGTATCTTCTCGTTTTACGATATCTAGGCCTTCTTTACGAAAAAAAATGTCAAAACAATAGTAAATTGTTTAGAAAATAAATCATAAGATCAACAAAATCACAAATAGAATCACATATAGAAAGAATATTCTGTGGACTATTTATAAATAATTTTTTTTTGAGTGCAAACCAATAGGAAATGGAATGTTGTTACTTGGATTACTATTATGATGGTAAAAATGATGAATGAGAGTGAGAGGGAGAGATAGAAAAAACATCAATTGTCAAACAAATTGATCATCACACATAGTGTAATCTTCCTGAATAAATTATGTGGTGACAATTTAAAAAGCAAAAATCCTATCCTATCCTTATTCATTTTTGTAATACAATTCCTTCAATTATTCAGTATAATACAATAATTAATGTTCAATTTAACTCATTGAAATCAAAAATCAAAAAAGAAATAATAATTGAATGTCTGCAATAAACATCCGGTGCGCAACCGGATATCAACTACATTAGGCATAACAAAAACAAGAAAAAAGAAAAAGAAAAAAAAAGAATGCCGTCAACACCAGCAATCATCGCCAACAAATAATCATCAAGTATATTGGCTTATCACACACACACACACACACACACATTAACAATGACAAGAAATAGAAAAGGAAAAAATAAAAACCAGATCACATACAATAGACAAATCAAACATCTTGTGTGTATATGTTTTCTGTGTGTGTGTGTGTGTGTGCTATGAATAATACTAGACCGCTGGCCGGAAGAGGTGGGCGGGCATTGACAAGACATGTATACAGATGATGATGATGATGATGATGATGAGTTTGCCGACATAGCAAATGGCACCCAAAATTTTCCTGTATATTACTTCTACTATAATAAATACTACAGAATGTTAAAACGCATGCGTCATTTTTTTTTCATAATTTCATTCATAGAATTTTCTTTTTTAAAACAAATAATAATATCGAATGAGAATCGTGAATTCGTTTAAAAAAAAAAAATTTTTAACCAGAAAAAAAAACATAAAAAGTCAACGGAAATTGATCAATAAGTAAATAATGAGGTTTCAAACTAAAGCGAGTTATTATGATAGAAAATTTAGATGAAAATTTCATTCAAATTTTTTTAAACCTTTTTGATTTTATTATGGGACAGATGTTGATAAATTGTGTGTGTGGGAAACAAACACACAAGATCGACCGACCGACCGACACATTATTTTCTCTTTCTCTTGTATTCTTCTATATGGATAATAGGACAACGTAAACTGACGTAGCTTTCACTTTATTATTATTGTACACACAGAAAAATGAAACGTAAAATAGTTCGATTTTTTGCCAAAAAACCATAACATTTTTGGGTTTTAACGTCATCCACAAAATGTTATGGTTTTTTT